GGGTAATAGGGACCAGTAGGTGCTGGGACCAGTGGGTATCGGGACTGGTGTGCGCTGGGATCAGCAGTACTGGGATCGGTGGGTACCGGGACCTTGTGGGTACTGGGATCGGTGGGTACTGGGAGCAGTGGGATGGGCAGGCACCAAGACTGGTGGGTACTGGGATCGGTGGGGACCGGGAGCTGTTGGTACTGGGACTGGTGGGTATCAATACTGGTGTATCTGCTGATCTCAGTGCGCCAGAACCAGTTGGTGCTGGGATCAGCAGGTACTGGGACTGGTTGGTACTGGGACTGGCAAGTATTGGGACCAGCAGGTACTGGGATTGGCAGGTACTGGGACCAGGGGATAACTGGGACCAGTGGGTACCGGGACTGGTGTGCACTGGGATCAGCAGGTACTGGGGTTGGTGGGTACCAGGACCTTGTGGGTACTGGGACCAGTGGGTACTGGCATTGGCAGGTACTGGGATCAGTGGGTAACAGGGGCCAGCAGGTGCCAGGACCAGTGGGTGCTGGGACTGGTGGGTACTGAGATCACTGGGCACCAGGACCAGTGGGTGCCGAGCCTGGGAGCAGCAGGTATTGGGACTGGTGTGCAATGGGACCACTGGGTGCTGGGACCAGTGGGTGCTGGGACTGGTGTGCCCTGGGAGCAGCAGGTATTGGAACCAATGGGTGCTGGGACCAGTGGATGCTGGGAGCTGCAGGTATTGGGATCAGTGGGTGCTGGGACCAGTGGGTGCTGGGTCTGGTGTGGCCTGGGAGCAGCGGGTGCTGGGACCAGTGGGTGCAGGGACTGGTGTGCTCTGGGAGCTGCAGGTATTGGAACCAATGGGTGCTGGGACCAGTGGATGCTGGGAGCTGCAGGTATTGGGACCAGTGGGTGCAGGGACCGGTGGGTGCAGGGACTGGTGTGCTCTGGGAGCAGCAGGAATTGGGACCAGTTGGGTGCAGGGACCAGTTGGGTGCAGGGACCGGTGGGTGCTGGGACCAGTGGGTGCTTGGACTGGTGTGCTCTGGGAGCAGCAGGAATTGGGACCAGTGGG